AGATTGGCACATGTACTTTCTATTAAATATAGCCAAAAGAAAGAAAAAATGATAGAGTTGCAAATAGCAGTGTGCTGTCACTTGCCACACAAGTGCATACCAGAAGTATGATTTGTGCAAAGCATTTTACCATACAAATATCCTGGTTTGATGATGGGCCTGGCAACATTTTCCACTGTGCTTTTGTTTAAATTTAATGGAACAAAAAATTCATAAGAACCTCCATCCTACCACTAACAAAATGGTATAAAGAATCTCCCAGCCTGGCCAACATGATGAAACCCTGTCTCTAGTAAAAATACAAAAAAATTAGCTAGGCTTGGTGGCGCACCTGTAGTCCCAGCCAGTCAGGAGGCTGAGGCACGAGAATCGTTTTAACACAGGAGGCAAAGGTTGCAGTGAGCTAAGATCGCACCACTGCACTCCAGCCTGGACGACAGAGCAAGACTCCATCTCAAAAAAAAAAAAAAAAAAGAAGAATCTCAATGTATTCTCAAAGTAAAAAGGCAAAACCAAACACACTCTTATCCTGCCTTATTCCTATGTTATTCCTATGCTATTTATGTCCCACCACAGAATAGCAGATCTGAGTCTTTTCTATATATTTCTCAGAGCACTGAAAAGAAAAGAAATGTTTGGAGAGGAGAGTGTAGAAATCCCAGTGGTAGCATGTACCAGCAGGTGAGTAGAAAGGTAGTGTTAGCCTGACATTGTACTCTGTGCTGTCTGAACAAGATTTGTAGAATCATATATATAATTACCTTTTCATGTATATTTGAAATCAGAGGTATTTAAAATGCCTGTGAGATACCAATATAGCCTTAATATATGTCAAAATGTATTGCTGATTGGATAATTATTTGGAATACACATAATCTCCTAATATTGAATCATTACTTGTCAGGTATTATCTTTATGGAACTTTTCAATGTCTTTGCTTTATGAAGAGTCTAACCATGCATTTGAGCTGGTAATATTTTGAAATCTCCCATTATTTATGTAAAACTGTTTACAAGCAGTGTTTGAGAAGGTCTGTTTTACCATTATCCCCTCAATATCATGATCATCCAATCTCAAAGGAAAAAAAAAAGAAATTTGATATTAGGGATTGTGAGTAAACAAATTTATATATATAGACATTGTGAAGTTAAAGTTTTCAAAAATTACATTTGTGCAGTTGTTACTTTTTCCACACGTAGTGTCATTGAAATAGACCGAAATAATCTTGGCAAAAGTTAGACAACCAAAGATGAGTCTGGTGGACTGGTTTTGAGCAGTTGAAAAGCGAAAGCCTTTGTTTCCAATGACAAGGCAGCCTTTGTGGGTTTGGGTTTGTGGTTCAGACTGAAAAGAAATTTTTATTCCTACGCCAGTAGATGGCAGCAGCTTTTCATTGCAGACAAAACCACTTGAAACCCCTCCCCCACGGCACAAACTCGCCCAGGATGGAAAGCATTTAGGTTTCTGCCTCCTTTTACAGTTAATCCAGGAGAGGGAGTCCTTTGCCAACTGATGACCAACAATTCCAAGCCAGATAGTCTTGTCAACAGTGACAGTACAGAAAGAAGGAGTTATTTCTATCCAGAACTCCTCTGGCCTTTGTTCTTTTTAAACTGGAATATGGGTGGGAGACATAAGAAACAAGACTTCAAACTGGAGTGACAGAAGAAATAATCATTACTTTCAATTCATGACTGCTTTATATTCATTTGATGAAATCATTTGTATACAACTAGGGAGAAAGTTTTCTTTACACCCTTGACAATACATCACATACACTTCAAGATCATAATAATATCATTAATATGAATTTAAACAACATGGCTTGTTAGAAAATATGCTAATTGCTATGTTCTCATTATGTTTGCTTAGCTTTTATTTGTTTTTCTATGAACAGTTAGAGAGCTAATTTTTTTCAAAGGTGATTGTAAGTCATATTTTATATAGCATTTTGCTTGATTATTTGCTCTGTACTGAATTTGTACTCTATTGCCATTAGATCTTACAATAATGTTCCACTCTGCAAATTTTTAAGGTTCAAATAAAGTTTAATTGTTTGCAAACTGTTATGATGCTAATAATTCAACAGCCTGCTGTGTTACTAATGAAATTACTTTGTTATGATTAATTTGGAAAATAGTGTGTTGATTGTAGTAATTAACCACAACAAGGTGAAGTAAATGATTCTAATACCATCTGGCCTCCAAACTGAATGAAGAAATGAAATAGGGCTGTCATCTGAATTTATTCAAAGAAGTCAGGATAATACAAATGACTTTCATTGCTGCAGGATTTATACTTAACATAGCTCACTCCTTACTATTTTTGCTACTTTGCTGCATATGACACTTTCCTTTATGGAAAAAGAATGTTGTTTAGTCCAGCAATTGTTTTGAATACTTGATTTTATTGTAAGCTGATTATTTCTACTCTGTGCTAATTTAATTACAGATAATTACATAAAGTATTATAGGACCATGGAAAAAAAATCACTTTTCATCCATGTGTAGGTGAAATCTATATATGTGGGGTTTTGTTTTTGTTTTAGGTTTTTTGTTTCGATTTTTGCTATTAGTTACAAACACTTTGAATATAGCCTTGCATAAAGATTAGGGCTACCATGCAAATATTTCTTAAATATGTACAGTCAAAGGCTCACTCTTAGTTCTTGTGATTTATACTTTTTATATAATTTTATGTAATTTCTCCACTCTACTACTTGCTAGTCATTCATTGCCTGGTACTATCCAGGGTCATAATTTAAAATAGAACTCAGTTATATATTATAGATTCAGATTTGCAGTTAGAAGAAAACTAATCCTAATATACATGTTGTTTAAGACCTTGAACTTCATCAGAGAGACTGAAGTGAAGCATTGTGAGAATTTTTAAGTAAAGTTCTTCTAAATTTCAGATAAATCAATCATTTGTATTTCATTTGTTGGAGTTATAGACACACACCATATAGAGATCACTTTTACTTCTCTTAAGTAGATTCAAGAATATTGAAAAGCAATCCACATGGTAAAGAAAGAGGTAGTGGAGAGTAGAGATCAAAACATGATCAAGCCATGGAAACACAGCTTCATTCAAAGGTTGAAAGAATATGCCATGTGTGTGTGTGTGTGTGTGTACTATATATATATAAAATAAAAAACATTTGATGAATATGGCCTTATTTATCAGTAATATATTTAGTATTCAAAAATACAGAGAAACAAGTTCTATGTTGTTAAAATATTATTATAGAAGTTTAATATACACTCAAATACATAACAGTTTATCATCTGGATTGGGAACAAGGGATTTCTAGACATCTCAGCTTTAGCCAGTTTATTGTACACGTACTACCTTATAGTTGAGTTCTTCCAGAATATCTGTTAGAACCCATGATAATATAATATTTTGTTATGAGATAAATCTTTAAAAATTATATGATCAGGGTAGCATGGAATGACATTTCATTAATGCTGTGTTTGAGGGACTTTTTCTGCTAGTAGAATCTGTTCTATCATTACTTATATACAAACATATTATTTATTGCCAGCATGGCACAAAGTACATAGTGTAGATCCAGTAAATATTTGTTAATTAACTGATTTGGCACCCCACAATATCTCAAGACCTGAGATTTAAGGAGAAAAGAGCTTGACTACTAAACCTGGTAGGGAAAATGCCTTTATACAGTTAGTATATCCCATAATACCATCAACGAGTAGACTGGATTTTATCGTTGTAACAGAAGTAGTGAGATTGTGAATAAGAAAGTTGAGCTGTGGTAGATAGTCCTTAGATGTTTACTTCCTTTCTTTCCTTATGTTCAATGTTGTGACCTCAAATAAGGCGCACAGGTGCCTCAGGCAGCTTGGGGGCAAGTGATCTACTTTCACTTTCCAGTGAAACATCCCAAATCACTGCTGCCCAGCATTCTGCCTGGGTAATATCCGAGAAGCCTTTCCTGCATCTGATCATGAAAGCATTCTAGCTGTCGCCTTGGACAGATCAAAATTTTCTGCAAGTAAGTGAGAAGTTTCATAGTCACTGCCAAATTTAATCATAATTTAGCTTTTGTCCTTTTTGTTAACGTTTACTCCCTATTTATTTAAAGTTGTATGGTTATGTTAAGTGCTTTAAGTCCCTAAGATGAAAGGAACCATAAATGCAGAAAGTTGCCTGAGGCACACCACTGCTCAGTTTAGGTGTGCAGTGTTGAGAAAGGGGCTGGAAGTTGAGCAAGCCAAAACACTTGAATATTTGCAAAGGTGTAAATACGGAAAATGCTCCCAAAGCCCATCTCTTAAGTGCCTTTCTTAATGCTGGAACTTTGGAAGGTGTTTCCCTAGGTTTCTCTCTTTTTTTTTTTTTTTTTTTTTTTTTTTCTTTTTTTTTTGCCATTACTTGGAGAGGTAATATAGCACAGCACTTGTCTGTCTTCTGTTTATTGGCTTCAACTTTGTAATATAAAAATATCACTCCTGTTAGAGTAAAAGCAGGTGCCATTTTGTAGCTTGAACTGCAATTCTTGTTTGAGGAAAGTGTCACACAGGTACTCTCAAAGGAGAAAATTAATGACACTAGTGTATGCTTGTTAAAGACAACTGCTTTAGTGGAAGAGAAAATTCCAACAAAATAAGCAGATTCTCATACACTACCCTCCCTTCCTAGCCCCCATGGAGTCCATTTAGAAAACCCTGTGTCCTTTATCACATCAAATGTGATGATACCAATTTAACTAAGACTAGTAATAGTAATAGATAACATCTACTGAGTGTTTGCTATTTGTCATGCTGTTCACTTTTCATTCAATTCTTATGACAACCCTATGAGGTAAGTTGTTATTCATTACCATTTTCCCAATTGGGAATCAGGCCAAGTAATTTGTCCCCAAAGCCTTAGGCTAGTGAGTTTCCTAACCAAGCCTCACACCAGCCTCCTTCTATTCTGCTATGCAGTACTGTGATGAATTAAAACTAAATACTTTAATTCTTTGTATATAAAAGGCATACAACAAATGCTTGCTGACCACTGATGATGCCACCATTTCTAGAAAATAATCTGAAGCATGTGAAAAGAATCATCCAATAATTGACAATTGGATAACTGATTTTGGCTGATTTAGTCAGTAAAGCATACCGTGGTGATCATATCAAATCCAAAACAGCTACAATGGAGACTAAACTTTTATGCAGGAACACCTGACCTTCCAGTCCAGATGAAAATAGGAAGTCAATCAAAGCAGCAGAGTCCAGAGGGGACACCAGGCCAAAGTGACCCTTTTCTGAGGACCTTTTCCCATCCTCTCTACCTCCTCCACTGTGAAGCCCAGTACTAACCAGCCAGGGGAGCCTTGACGAGGACTATAAATCCAGCTGCTTCTGTCTCAAATAGTTGTTTTTTAGGGGATGGGTTTTAATGGATAGATTTTTTTTTTAAATGTTTTAAAGGACTATTAACAGACTATACAGTCAATAAACTTCTTTGTCAAATGTGTATAATTTTGTGACTGAGTGATGGCAATGTCTGACATGACTTTTACTTGTTGAGATATGAATTTAAGAAGAATTTTTAATTGGAATATCTGATACATAAGTAAAAGGTCTTATTCCTTGGACACTCAAGTAGTACCTTGTACTGGGCCTCATAAAGCCTTTTGTTGTGTTTTTTGAAGAAATCCTTTTAAAATATTTTTGTACTTCAGTGATTGGAAGCTGAGGGGTGGGGAGAGTGAAAAGATTAAGAGATAAATAAGGACTAACATTGGCTCTGGAATTTAACCAGACAGGTGGTAAAATTGAGCCCTCTCGTAGTGTAACAGCCCAAGAGAAAGGGCTTTTCCAAGGAGCCTGAGTCATAAGAGCCACAAGCTGTTTGAATTTTTACCGCTCTACAGAGTTCATAATGTCAGGTGTGCCCTCTGCTTTCTGGGAACCCAGCAAAAACAAGGTGTGTAACTGTGTGTTTATCCTGTTATAAGCATCCTGAATTGAAAACTGAAATGTAGCAATCTTGTTAGTGTGTGTTATCTCCCTGTTGCTTTGCTCCAGTTGGTCAGCATATTTGTTTTATTCTTTATTATCATCTCAGGGCTTGCCGTTTTTCTTCCTAATTAAGTGATTCCATTTTGAATAAATTACGTTTAAGTGCCATCCTGTGCAAGGGATATTTCAAACATAGAATTTGACGTAGTCTTCCCCAAGTAGATTCATGGTCTAAATAAGACAGACAGGATGTAAACACAGGGAAGGATAAGGACAGCCCCGCATAACCTTACCTTGGTACAGTTTTAGCAGGTTAAGCCACTAGCAGTGTCCTAAGACATAAAAGGTTCTCTGATTTTGTGACATCTGAACCCTAGGGATTATCTGGGAAACAAACTGGGAATCTTTTCTCATGTATATATTTTTTAAATAAACAGGGGGAGGGAATGCAAGGGTTTCAGTACTGTTTCAGATGAGATATTTATTTTTTGTAAAAATTCCAAATGCTTGTAGCTATTGAATTAAGTGTGAGGGGATGCAAAGAGCTGTGTATATGAATAATGTGAACATCTTTTACAGAGTTGCTACCAGTTATGGTAACATAACTCTGGAAGCTGAGAGTGACCTCTACCCCTTTAGGAATAAGGACTCTTCCCCTTAAGTTGGGGACAGAGTTGTAACCAGCAGTATTCTCCTGAAGGTGGGCAGTAGTAAGAACACTGGAACTGGAGTCAACCAAAATTCTAGTTTCACTCTCTAGTGCCTTGTGCCCTAGAATAGGTTTCCTTGTCTGAAGAATACCAGTGGTGCCTGTACTCCCTGCTTCACAGGATTGTGGTTAGGCTCAAGTGAAATTACTTTTAGAAGTGACCTGGAATATCAACAATAGTGTCAAAGATGGCTTTCCTGCATTTAAAGATATGAGAACTGAAATGAAACAATGATCGAATAATTTCTCCTTCACACCAAAAGCAAGCAAGGGAAAAAATTTTTAATACTCAGCATTGGCTGTAATACTACTTGAAATAATATTAGCTCTTGGTATTATTATTTTATAATGAAAATTGACGTAAATTATCCTAGAGGAGTTTGGGATTCGATTCTTCTTTAATTTTCAACGCATTTTAAACCAAGTCACTGGCTTCCAAGTTATGGTCAATTTCTGTTAATGGTAATTTTAATCACAGAGATGTTACTTCTGTCTATAGTTTCTAAATAAACTTTTCTCATCATATTTAAAACCACCAATCTGCTTTAGGTATATGTTGTTTGTAGTTGGTTGAATTTAGCAAAGAATTAATTTTTTTAAACTGACATCCTAAGGAAAATTTTTGTGCTGACTTCCTTTGCCCATTATCTAATTCTTTTATGAACTGTTTCTTCCAGATGGGTATCTATGAATGTCTGAGTGTGAATACACACTTTCTAAACATTTTATTCAGATGTGTATCTAGGAGTGACACAATTTTATTTTCTCTAATTAGCCTTGTAATATAGCACTAATCTTGGTTTGTAGTTTGTGAAAATATGGGGCTAGAAATAAGGGCAAACCAGAACCTCATTACATGTAACCTTAATGCTTTAATGTTATAACTTTAGGCAAAGCTAATAAAAGATGCAAAGGACTCTTAAATAATTTAAATTATCTAAAAAATTGAGCATATTCCTTCAAATAATAATGGCTTTCATGATCTGAATTTTTAAAAATTCATTTCTCATGTCTTGAATTACTCAGAAGATATCAAAGTAAGTTTGAGTTTATTTAAGATTATTAAATATATTTATTATCATGGAGAGTCACTGAAGATTCCATTTTCTAGCCTAGCAATTGTAATCTTTAGTGTGATGTAGTACATAATTCTGATAACATATCTGATGATGTCATGATTGCATAAAGTTAATTCATAGCACTTCTCTTTAAAATGGTGCTTTGTGATATGATTCCTTGATTATTTTGAACCATTAATTCTATCAGCTTGAAAAATAGATATATTATGTACCTGTTATTACTGCTTTCTAAAATCAAAGCTTCTCTTATTATCTTAACCTTACCAATTTAAACTAGGAAACTATTACTTTTATAATGTATTTATATTATCATTACATACTCTTTGATAAAGGAAAACAGTGGGACTATCCTAAATTGTGGCAACTGTGTTAAAGATAAGTCATTTTCTAAACTTTTCCCAAATGATTATAGTAGAGAATTTCAAGTTATAAGCATACTATCCTTTGCTTCTCCCAAAGCTGTGGTTTATAGCAATAAATACGCTATATTGATTACTGCTTAATTCTAATGGACGTACTGAGGCTGGAAACATTATAGCTTAGCATTTAATGCCTTAATTTTTAAAGTTTAAAAATTTTAAAAACTGATGTAATTGCCTGAGTGTTCTGTTATTGGACCCATTTCATGCTATAAGATTATTCTCATATCTTTCCTAAAGATTATTTTGTTCACAATGTATTTTTTCTGACACTTCATTGCTATTTTTGCATAACTGAAAATCTGTCATTTTCATTTTAGCTCAGTTTGGAAACATGAAAACCGTATCAGAGCAACATATTAAGATTAGTATAGAAACACACAAAAAAATGAAAGTCAGCCATGTAGATATTTTAAATTTAGTCAAATTATTCAAGTGTGCAATTTTAATCCATTAATCTGGTTTGAGGCTGCTTAAGAGAAATATTTCTCTCTGAATGAGTTTTTTCTCTTATACAAAAAGAGCATGTTGAGAAGAGAAGCATCTCATCTAAAACAGTTAGCATGGGGTTTTTTTGTTTTTTGAAGCAAAAGATAAAGCAAGAGCTGACCTAATACTCTGCCATAATTTATTCTTAGTCAAAAACAGATTACCATTTACACTCTAGGTATTAAAAGCTAGTTATAGTGATTAAAGGTTGTCTTTCTAATGCTGTGTATTAAGATATCCAATACAAAATTTATTTTCAAGGTATTTCGGGGTCATAAAGGAAGTTGTTTTTCTTATGAAGGGAATTCTGTGTTTTACTTCATTATTTGTAAATATATATATATATTTAAAACTACAGGCACACACACACACAACTGGGAAGGGGAGAATGGGAGCTGGTTGTTTCTTTGAATTCTAATACAGTATGTCTTCTTAATGAACCTGCCGCATTGCCCAGAAAACAGCTCCCTGCAAATAAACATGCTAGAAGTGATTTAGCCACAATGTCCAGACTGTGTAAACATCTAATTATTACAATAAAATTGTCAATAAATTTACATTACTGCTCCCTTTTCAAATGTTAACCAACTTTTTCTTCACTTGATAAAAGGGCATAAATTGTATTTTTATGTGTTGGTGTTTTTGTTTTCATTACACTTCTTGCTGCACTCTAGACAAAAGACCTCAAGCCTTAATGCCCTGAGTTATTCCTGGATGAAGAAAACTCCTACAGTTGTTTATTAATGTAATGTGTTGTGTTCCTTTCACAGTGAGATGGACATGGAGCCCTCACAATCTGATCTTTAGTCACGGCATTTTTTAAAAAGCCATAAAGCCAGTAGTATTGTAGTCACTGCAGCTTTAAGAGAGACACAAAGAATTAAGGCCCTTATAATCCACTATTAGAATGGGAATTTAAGTTACATTAGTAGCAAAGATAAAATGGTGAAATGCAATAATTTCCTTTAATAAAGATTATGTCCAGTTTTCAGAATTATGATATCATGTTGAACATAATTGTGGAATAAGCCCCCCCAACACACGTATTTCTTATATAACTGTACATTAACATTAGAAAAGCAGAGTGATATTGAATTCTAATGAGGTCTGGCCTATATGCTCTGCTAGGAGAAGAATGAGGATAATTCATTTGTATTCTACAAAGCACTTGGAAATCCACGCGCATCCCTGTGGCTTCAGCACGTGGTGCTGATCATCTGTTCCTACTTGGAGTTGCGGGGCTGGGGGGGGCGGCAAGGGCGGTATTCATTGCTTTGAACAGCGTCTGAGCTGGGGAAAATAGTTAACCACTTTCTTGCTAGCTGTTGTTTCTTAATGACTATTTAATACGGTTGCTCTATCTATGCATTTGCTTTACCTGTTCTCTTCAAGGATCTTAAAAATTGTGATGCCTGTGTTGGTGACAGTGCACCTCTGTAGAAGGCAAACAAAGAAAATGAAGTGAAATTCAGTAGGGCAAATGTGTTTTCACCATCCTCAGTAAACATGTCGGTTTTAAGTAAACAATCGGATGACAGTGAGGGATTTGTTCATTAAAAAAAAATTCTGAAAAATGCTCCATTTGATCTGATACTGGCTGTTCAGGAAAAACTGCATTCATTTGTGAGTCTTGCTGACACTCTGAGAAAACAGCCCATTTTGGAAACTTATATTTAGTAAAACCAAGGAATGAAAGATTTTAGCAAATTGCCACGTAAAATGATCTGCACAAAAAGGCATTGGGGAAGTGAGCTAAGGCCTGTGCCAAACAGATGGCACCCCCTGCTGTGTTTTTGATTGAAAAAGAAAGGTAACATTTGCAGCCCCGTCAAAGAGACAGTGATCAGCTAAACAAATTGGTCTCCAAAGTACCCCATCGCCGGAGCAAACCCCGCTGCAGGGTACAAGTGAGGCTGTATTTCAAAATAATGCTATGTTTGCATCTTTCCTAAATGAGGGGATATGTCCCCTTTTCATGCGGCAAAGAGAAGAGGAGGTCTTTGTTGAAGTCAACTGCAGTATTATCTGCAGAATAAGCAACAGACCTCAGTAGCACAAGTACCCATTTTCTCTGATCACCACCAAATGCCTATAAATAATATTTGGGAAGACCCCAGTAGCTTTTTATATGTTGTTCACTTTCCTGTGTCAGGTCTCCAGAACTTACAGAGAGGAAATTGGTATGCAGCATACAAACAAAAACAACACCAAATCATCACAAAGGCACAGTCTGAGGAGGCGAAAGAAAGAGGAGGAGATCAGGAAAAACTCTCCTAGCACTTGAATTCAATTGCAAAATACAAACATCAAAAATGGCAAAGAGCCTGTCAGTGCGCAAGTCGGGGGGTGATTTTTTTTCTTTGGCTCATCTCAGCTGGCAGCCTTATTCTGCTTCAGTAAAGACAAGGTACAGAAATGTCCTTTGGGTGACATTCAAAACTCGATATAAATCCTCTGCTTTATGAGACTGCAGTGCAATAAATTACTTAGCCTAATTGTAGATGTAATGAATTACCATAATTAGTCATGGGCTACATTAAATTAATCAGCATGGTACATTATTTTGCTAAATTACATCTTTGCCTTCCAAAGCCACCAGTGCAGCAATCAGTGTTTTTTGCAAGAGGCGAATGATGCTATAATGAGAAGCCTTTCTGCTCCTAGAACAGTGACAGGATATGAATTCTGATGGGAGGCAGGAAGGTTTGGAAACACTGGAGTTTCAACTTGTGCCTGAAGTGTCTTTGGTTGTTAATGATACCCCAGTCCCCCTGCAGGGGAGCAGTGGGCTGTAGCTTGCGAAGGTTGTAGAAGATTCCCCTCACAGGGGAAGAAAAACACTTAGATGGTGCTTTAAGGCAAATAATATAGCTGATACAACAAGTCACAAAGCAGTGGGGTGGCAGAAAGATAATGTCTTTGAAAATATTAATAGATTTAGAATGTTCTTTTACATTGGTTGATGAGATTTATAGTTAGCAGGTATTTCTTTATGATTATTATTATTCATACAGTTTGGATCCAGGATAAAGCCTGTAGCTATTATTGTTTTTTACTTAAACCTCCAGCTGTTCAGAATCTTGCTTCTGCTTCTCAGTGGGTGATCTGCAGGCAACCCACAAGTGATATAAATATTATTCACTATTCAGGAAAATGTCAGGCAGCCTTGGTGTTCACAGACCCATTATCTGGGAGTACAGGTGCTTGCTTTTGTAGAAGGTTTTGTTGTGGTGGTTGTTGTTTTCACTGGGGGCAGAGACACATCCTGACAGATGAACCATAGAAAATAAGAGGTACTTAACCCATATTATCTCTGCGTATGAAATATCTTTTTAAGTTCCACTCTTTCAAAAGCAGTGCTCATTCTCAAACCCGGTTACCTGCACCTTTACTGCCCTGTGTTGTTATGAAAGAGTTTTGCAATAAGATTCACTGTCTTAATTCCAGAATAAGTTTTTTGGAGTTTGTATATTTTTGATAGTATCCTGGTTTATTTCAAGAGAAGAACTATAACTGTCCTGCACATCTACATAATGAAGATTCAAGAAAGGCTCTCAGGACATATCCATGTTTTTGTTTATAGACTTGTCTGCTCATACCATAGGAAAATGAGTTACTAGCAACTGATTTGGAAACAGTACTACAGTGGAATGACACAGAGAATGACTATGATATGAAAGCAATCTTTAAATAGTGGAAGCGAATTAAAACCTAATATCCAAAAGAAGCATACAAATAAAGCTTGGTCACAGCTGTAGAAAAATGCATAGGGATGCAGAAAAACCCTGTATTGTAATTTGTGTTTTTGTCCTGGTGGGAACCTATTTAATTAGTGCAAGAAGGTATTGAATTTTAGCTTATCATGCATATTGTTTTCCAGCTGTACTGAAGATTGCCAAGTTTCTAATGGCCTGACCCTGTTCTGTAAATCAGCAGTAAATTGCGGCATTTACACTGAGCAAAGGCAAAGGGCTCATTCTGTTGGGTTTGTGCTGTCACAGGAACCTGGGCTAAGGGATTAATGGGCTGATGTTAAACATCTGTCCCCTGTCTTTGGGGGGACGTAAACACACAAAGAGGGAATCTAATGCCATCTACTAAAAGATCTTCAATGAGAGGAAGCCCTTGCTAACATTTCCATCCAGTGGCACCTTAGACACATTGCCTCTTTATGCTAAAACCCCACAGCACTAAGGGCCCTATAAATAGTCTCCATGTGACAGCTCAGAGAAGAAGAGAGGTTTCCTCCAGACATTAGTTGTGCTAAAAGATTCATCATTACCTGCAGTCATGAAATAAATCTTTGATACTTACAACTATAATATCCATGCTCTACGTTTTATTGCAGATATAGGTAGACAGTCATTATTTCTGACACTTTCCCAGCATTACAAGGAGTACTCTAGGGGAAAAACTAGTGTACAGTGTTACAGAAATAGATTGATATAACCACATAGAAACCAGTTACTTTACTGAGCCATTGTAACCAATACAATATTCCCTTAATGACATTAAACAGTCACATAGATTCCAAATTCAATGTAAGACTCCTATCTAAAGACAACCTCAGTTATCTACAAATTAACTTGCCAAGAGGGAATTTTTTTTTATATCATACAGTAGTTTACAAGAAATATACTCCTGAATGACAATAATTTTTTTAGCATTCAAGTTTATTATTATTTAGGGGACATTAAAACAAGACAATGGTCAACAGCAATCACTTTATGGCACTTGTGGGACATTAGAAATCAGTATGTTGAGAAGCCTCCTGTTAAGAGGACTTGGAGTGGTTACTGTACAGTAGGTATTAGTGTCACATAAATTGCAGTAACACGATTTATCCTACAGAAGAGGTGTTAAAGTTGTCTCTTGCCATGAGCTATTTAAGAGAGAGGCTCTTGCACAATGTTTTTAAGCCTAACAAGTGAGTTATGGAATCCTGTAAGAGTCCCTCCTTACCTGTAAGTCACTGCTTTTAGCAGTGGTGATCTCCTCAAAAGCCCTGAGCAATAGTAGGCACAGGATTTCAATCTTTAGTTACATCACTTGTTCCTTGGTGCCTCATTTGCAATGAGCATGTTAGAGGCCAGAGGCTGCAATGATATGTCACCTCTTTGTGGGGAGAGGATTTCTCTAGTTCAAGAATTTTAGGCGGTGCGATTGGGAGAAGCACGGTGACTTCCTGCCAGGGCAGGACTCTCACGGAACTCTTCAGTTGCTGAACTGGCTGCCACATGCGTTACCACAGCAGCTCTGGGAGGC